TAAATCTATAAATTATTAAAATTAAATGATATACTTAACATCTAAATTATCGGGAGGGAGGGTTTATTGAGTATTGAACACTGGAGAAATGTATTATTGTTAGGTAAATATACCATAGACATCTGTCCACAAATATTCAAGATTAAAAGAAAACTAACTGAAACATCTCAAATGTATTTTAATATGAATTAAGAATAAAAAGCCTTGTATGAATAGCTAGCTAAATAGAGATAAATCTAGAAAAGCAAGAAATATAAAATGAAAAAAAAAACAAAAAAAAAAACAAAGCTAGCTGATGGTTAGCCAACACAGAGCTACATAACAGCCAAAAAGTAGTTAGAGCAGATGTGATAATTAGTCTGGATATATGGCTGGCTCCAAATCATATTAAATTAAGACAAAAAAGAGAATTTACTGCCCGGGTTGTAAACATGAAATGACATTTTGGTTAGGTTGGAATAGTTTGCCATGCCAGGCCTGTGTTCTCCTCTACAACAGTGTTTTTGATGCTGCAGGAGACCATGCTGTAAACAACACTTCAGCTGATGTTTTTTGTCCTCTCTGCAGAATTCCTCTGAAAATGCCTGCTATTGTCTGGCTGACTAAAGCAGGCAGCTCCAGACCAAGACGGCTGAGGAAAAGCCAAGGCACATGAAGAACCTATTAGGGGGCCTAGCATGAGCAGCAGCAGCAGCAGCAGCAGCAGCCCTTGGAGGCCGGCCAACTGAGTGTGTGAACAATGGGAACCCAGCTCAACAAAAACATCCTGCACAAGTGAGAGAATGGAAGGACGGCAGAGAGGGAGGGAGAGGCGAGGGGTGAGAGAGTGAGTGAGCTGTGAAGCCCGATCACTGCTCTGGACTGACTTTACTGCAACAGCCTGAAGTCGAAACAAGCCAAAAATATCATACATTTAAACAGCTACACAGAGACTAAGACTCTTCTGCTCCACTTGAGTTTAAATGTATGGAATCTACAGTATTGTTCCTTTGAAATATTCTTTGTTTTTCTTTTCTTTTTGCGGTGTTAATAGGTCTAAGCATGGGTGTGGACTGTAGAAATGAGAAATTAAATTTTAGCCCCTTACCCATCACTCTTTAACTATCTTTACCTAAACCCTAACCCATGAACATAACAGTAACAAACACAACATATTATAATAGTTTAACCCTAACCTGACCCTAAACCATAACCCCAACACTAGACACTAACAACCAACCATTAATGCTAAACCCAATCCAACTCTGACTCCCAATATCCTAACCTCTATACAGATCATAATTTTAATTCTAACACTCAGACTACTGTAACCCTAACCCTGTAACTCCAACCAAACCTAATGCTAATTCCATGCTAACATTTCTATAACCCCCTAACTCCTAACCTAGACCAAACCCTAACAGATTTTGGGTTAGAATTTCTGTGAGATTGTGGTACGCACTAGAGCAGTGATTATCAACTCACGGCCCACGGGCCAAATCCGGCCTACAATCCTATCCAGTCTAGCACATGAGTGCATTCCAAAATAAACATCAAATAATACTGTTATCAATTGAAAAGTACAGACTCTCCATTTAATCAAAATTAAGAAAAAAAATGTATATCCTTTCCTGTCGCTGTTTCTCATGAACATGAATGAACATGGGACCAGCGCCTGCTCTTTAACCAAATGCGTGCCATGTCTTAGCCCTACTTTGCATTCAGGCATTTGTTCCCACATATGTGTGTGACTATTCAAATGAATTGTGGCTCCAGGCAGCTGATCCCTGTCACACTCCCCTGACTTCTCCTGCTTTGACATGTCTAGATAATGATAAGACGACTCATGCTTCCAGCCATTCCATTTTATAATGACTACTGATGATGACACTGGGTATGAAAACGATGTCTTCTGTCTTGTCTTGTACATCACACTCAGACAGGCTAATACATACATATATATACATATATATTACCTAGAAGTTAAAATACCTTCTTAACTCTTCAGATCAGACTCGTCAGATTGTTTGTCGTCACAAATAGAATCAGGTGTGAAACACAGCAAATACATCTACCCGCTGTCATTTGTCTTTCTGTGCCAGAATTATACGGTGAAAAAGTGTTTTCTTCATATCAATTATTCATGATTAACCGCAAATAAATGAAATACAATTCATCACGATTAATCCACGGCTACCTTGGGATTAACCAGGTTGAAATCATTTAATCTAAATCCCATCCTTTCTAACCTCATCTCATCTCGTCAATCTCATCTCACATTGTTCCAACTTTTCTGGGTTTATCTCGTCTCACCTTGATGATTGATGCACAAAGATAAACACGTGACCTCAACATGACTCTTCAAAGTGATTATGTTTTCTTCCGTCACGTCTCTAAGCCTCCTCGATCTCACCACTGCCGTAACTGCAGGTCGACACCCAGTTCGTTTTGCAACCTGAGCAGGACAGACGTGTAGAAGGACAAAGCGCTTTTCCCACGACCCTCCCAGAGTCGTGCAATAACGCCTCAGAGGACGTGACTCAATCAGCATGAATTTTCTTAAACAGATGCTAAAAACCTGAGAAAAACAGAAGTGTTCACCACAGAACAACAGAAACCAGTGAGAGAACCAACGCTGAACTCTCAATGATTGACCAAACTGACCCAGACGGTTGAGGTTACTGGGACCACTGCTGTTCATCTTGTTTATTAATGATGAAAGGTTTGATATCAAACTCACTAAACTGTGAGTTGATCTTTACACAGATGATATTACCGTCTTCACTTCTGAAGAAATGTGCTCCAGGTTTGGTTGAAACAAATTCTAATCTTGCTTTAACTTCACGTTCCCTCTAAACAGGATAACAATTTACCAAAACAGTGACTAACTTCCCATAGACACCAATTATATTCTTGTTATTCTCTACTTCCTTTAATCACACTGTACTTCAATGGACTTCCATTCCCCAACCTTATGGCTACTGCCCATTTTTTATGGCGCCACAGTTTGTACTTTATACAACAACACAACAAAAATCGTTAAAATACCCGATATGAAATAATCACAATAAGATTTTTTTTCTCTTCCACTAGGTGAGGCTGTAGAGTGAGTAGTTGATAATAAACAAGTGAGTATATTACAGAGCCAGAAAGCAGAGAGTGAAATGAGAGAAATAAGTTGAATATAGAATAAATAAAAGGAGATGAAGAGAAGGAGACGCACTCCAGCATGGAGGAGCACAACGGACTCCTGCTAAGAAAGAGAGCAGGAGAGAGGCGAGGGGAGAGTGTGTGTGTTGGGAGGTTTGTGAGTGTGTGGGGGTAACATAAAACCAGCTCTCCCACAACAGACACAGGGGAGGGGACCCTTCTTTAAAACCCAGCCTACCCACAATGCACCGGGCTCTTTTATCCCAGCAGTGAAAGGATGAGGCCAGATGAATGACAAAAGGAGAGAATGGGGATCTGGGCTGGGCCCGGCTCGGAGGAAGACAGGGAGGGGGAGGACAGGGAAGGGGAGGAGGGGGGTGGTGTTTCCCAAACAGACTTTTTTTTTCCTGTGAGATAATCAGGAATGGAGGCCGGGAGTCAGGAAAACACGTCTCTCCCAGAAAAGTCACATGTTTAACACTGTGAAGCCTGACATATTTTTCTAAAAAAAACCATAAGTAAATTCTAAATATCTGGAACTGAGATGGTTATGAAATATACATAACAACATTTCAAAAATGGCACATAGTTTTATAGGGTTAATACAGTAAAAACTCTACATTGTTTGTGCACTTGAAGTTTTATCTGTCAAGTAAAGGGACAAAGAAAAGAACTGTTAGTGTTGGTCATTTTAGAACTTAAAGAATTGGAACCCGTATTCACCCCAGAAATAGTTGTTTTCCTCTGGGTCACATTCCCTTTTCTTTAATTTGCAGTGTTTTGCAACCAAGAAAATGTAAAATATTAGTAAAAACCTTGACTTTTTCTTTTCGAGGGGACAAATCTAGACTGCAGGCAGATCAGTCAGTTACACATACAGTCCTGCAGACTGAAGTCCACTGGTGTGTCCTCCTGACAGAAACAAACACAAAAACCAAGCTAAAATGTCGATTCACTGTTCCATGGTCACATGGAATCTCTGATGAACTCAGGTTCTGAAAAAACATGGTGTCTTTTTGGAGGACACAGAATCATCTTTGACCATTTCAGCACTGATTATGAGCTGAGAGCTGATCCTTCTTTATCCACTGCTAAGTCTGAGAACATACTGACCACACACTGCTGGAAACCTTAAATCTTTTACACTAGGTTTGGTAAATACTTCGAAGACAGTTGTTATCATTTCACCAAAATCTTAAAAGGTGTCTGAAGAACTCAAACACGTGAGGACACGTCTCCACAGCGTTGACATGTTTAATCTTCATCATCATCTAGGCTTGAACTGTGTTAGGTTTAATGTCTCCAAGCGACAGTTGTGAAATCACAGTCAACGTCAACTTTTTTAACCAAACTCGAACGGTGAAAAATACTGCAACAAGTTTCGATCCAAATCTGAATTCTCCAGGATTCTGACAAAATATAATTTTTTAAGCAAACTTTAATGGAAACACGATGAAAGTATTGCAGATTTTCTTCTTACTTTTCTTTTGGCAAAACTGCCAAAAAGAATAAAAGAAAAGGAATGTAACAGTTTCACTCCTGAGACGAGACAAAGAAGCAGGTTGAGACCTGGTGTTGAAGACCTCCATGAGAATTCCATAAAGAAAACATTCTGTGATGGGAACAGGGAACGTAAATATGAAGAGCTTTGTTATTTTCATAATAACAGATTGTTCTAGAAAGTTTTGATTTCCCGCTCTACTGTGAGAGCAGACAGGAGATCAATGCACAAACGATGAGACCCTGTCTGTAAATATTTGGAAGGTTACGCAGATAACAGATCGGCCAGCTCTCCGGTGCATTTCCACATTTATATTTTCTATTTACTGCGTTTGAATCTCTGGGAACAAACGTATTCTTACACCTTGATGGGAGTTTAATGATTTCTTTACTGGCTTGTACACAAACGTACAAAAATAATACAGCACTCATCTCCACATGACGTCATGTCATCATCACAGTGTTACAAACGTTCAGGAGAGAAAAAAAAAAGGAAAAATAAAAAGAATACAAACAAACAAACAAACATACAGAGCCGAACACGATGGAACATCTGCGTCACTCTGACTGGTTCCTCACCTGCTTGAAATGAAGCAAGAGCAGAAACTCAACTTTGTCCAAAGACATTACCATCATCATCAACAACAACATCATCATCATCATCATCTGCACTATTTTACTTTAAAAAAAAAAGAAAAGAAAACTCTTCTCACTCATGTACACCAATCCGGCCGTCGGCTCCTTCCGTCATAAATGTTATGACCCTGGAGACCAGATGACCACAAAACCGTGCAATTTTTTTAATCATGTTACAATGATTTTACCATCAAATGTATTATTCTCCTTTCAAAAAAACATGAAGATGGCACTTTGGGAACAAGTGCCCCGACATTCCATCATCATCACCACCATCATCATCATCATCATCAGTGTTGATATATATATATCCATATGTATATATACATACACCCAATCACAGAGATACAAGGATCTTTGTTTTTTTTAAAAAGAACATCACGTTCTCTTTTTCCCACAAAGTGACACATGTTAGGACATCATCACCTGGAGCATATAATTATACAATAGTATTTTGTTGTGTTTGCTTTTTTTTCTATTCAGAAAAAAAAAAATTTAAACAAACGTTGACGCATAAAAGCCAACCTTTTTTCAACAACAGTCATCAGTGCAATATTCAAAACAAAAAGAAAAGAAAAAAGACTAAAAAAACAAAAAACAAACCCATCAAGTTTAAGAACAAGCAATGCATATTGATACCAGATGTATACCTTGATGTGGTGGATCTATCGCTTGAGTTACAGGTTGATGGGTATGAGTGTGTGCATGTGTGCGTGTATGTGTGCATGTGTTGAGGGTCAAGGGTTGTTGAACGTAGGCAGTTCTCAGTCTGGAGGACTGTGAAAACACAGCAACACGAGGCCTCAGGAGAAGCACATGCACCTGCTGCCACTTTGACACCACAAACCACAGACTGTGTATAAGAAACGGACTCAGCAGAAGACCAGCAGTCATCTATTTTACAAGGTTACTTCTTCTTAAATGTTTTTCCCAATATGAAATCTATATACGGTGTCACTTTTGGTATGTCCTAATCCCATTTAGTAGAAAATAGGAAACAAAGCAATCTCCTGTAGTGCTTTATCTCTGTTTTCCTCTAAATATGACTTGATGGAAAATGTATATAGTCAATATTATTAGTGATGTGTTCATCAAATGTAGTTCTCCAGTGTATTTGATTTTACCTGGACTAACTATGGCAGTGATCATTTTTAAAAAGGATATTGAATCTGTAATAGGAGGCATTTATATGTTTCTAAAGAGAAAGAGTTGATAAAACACCTGTTTTTACTTCCTCAATGCAGAGCTTTGTCTTCATTCCCCCATTATTAGAACAGGAATTTAGAAAATCAACTTCTGTTCTCTGCGGAAAAAAAATAATTTAATTTGACTTTTTAAGAAAATAGTTGAATCTTCTAATTTCAAAGATGATTACTTTTTTAATTATTCCCATAAAAATATGAATTTACATGGACCCTCACTGACAACAAGCACCATTAGACTTCTTTTGGTCTTCAAATCTGTTTCTTATACAATATTAAAACTCTCTCACACACATGTTCACACACACACACACACACACAGCAGCTTCTCCTGAGCTGGACCAGTGCTGCTGTGAAGCTTCTGTACAACTGTTGGCCATTTGAGCAGTAGGCTTGATAAAAAAAAAATCACAACAACAATTATAAAAATTAAAAACACAAACAAGCAGCATTGATACAAATGTTAGGGCGCCATGACTTTCAAAATGCAGCAGGCAAAGTTTACGGAACCAAATTTTTAAAACTTTTTTTTTCCTTTTTTTGAACTGTGACATCCTGCAACAGTCATGTGATTTCTTAAAGTCTTCTTCATCCAACAGTATAAGTCCTGCTCAGTAGTAGAAACTATTCCAAAGCCTTGGCTCCTGCAGTTTACCCCCGTACAGAGTGGGGACGCGCAAGGCTCCGCATTTTGTGCAATAAAACTCCCTGCATTTATAAGTCATGCGATTAAAAAAAAAAGATTCTTTTTCAAATAAAAAAAGATCAAACAGGTTGATGAAGACAAAGACAGAAGGGGGCAGCAACAAGAGGCAGAAAGAGAGAGAGAGAGAGAAAGAGAGAGAGAAGCCTAGAGCAGGAAGAACAGCAGGAAGTGGTTTGGTTGTAGTGTAAAAGAATCTGTCCCTACTGAGGATGCAAAGATAGTCGCATCACGACAAGTCCATCTGCCAAAAAAAAAAAGTGGCAAATGTGGTGAGACAGCTGAACAACTTGAGAATACTTTAGAGTCGAGGTAGCTGGCAAAAGGCAACCAAACAACAGTCCTTTATCAAAGAAAGTGGGAGAGAAAAGTCCTCTTGAGGGTCAACAGGCTGTAACAGAGGAGGATTCTGGGATGTCTGCAGCGGTGGTGCTCAGGAGAGACGAGGAGGGCGGACAGTTTATCTGAAGCAGCTTTGAGTCACGCCAGATATTCTCACACTCATATATCATATAAAGATATATTTAAAAAAAAAAAGAAAAACAGAAGAAGAAGAAAAGGAAGAACCACAAGATATTCAACAACGCATCTTCTAAAGGTACCTTCATAAATAGACACAAAAACCCAGCCTGCTTTCACAGTGATGACTAGGATGTTAATAAAATACTGAAAGGAGATTATAAAGTGAATTCCAAATGATTTTTTTTTTCTTTCTTTAAATCTGATACAAAGCGTAAGCAGCGGTTCTCTCTCTCTCGCTCTCTCTGTCTTTTCTCATATATAAGTAACACAAACACGACCGTCGGCAGAACTGATCAGAACTGGCCTGAAGAGGATGTGGACAAAGACCTGCAGCAGGCCATTCACTCTGCCACGGTCTCTCTTCTCTCTCTCTCTCTTTTATTTTATATTAAAAAAATAATAGTAAAGCTATTGTGTACAGTACTTCACAACGTGGATGAAGTCAGTTGTTGTTACAGATGATAACAGACGTGTGTGTGTGGGAGGGATGTGATAAAACATAATGCCGCAACTCAAATCAAAACCTCTCGTTGCCAACAGGGGGCAACAATTCTTCTTCTCATGTTCCCGTGTCTTCCCTTTCTGATATTCCAGCATGCAGCCATGAAGCATCAAGTGCCGTGGGTTTTTTTAATTTACGGTATTTTAATATAAAATAACTTAGAAAGGATTTTAACAGGAGAACAACGAGGACAGAGGCGAAAATCATAAAATGAAAAAAAGTTAAAGTTGAAAAAGTGGAGCCGGCTGCACTCCTGAGTCCAACCGACGCACGCGGTGATCGGAGCAGCAGACACTGGGATGTTAATGTTTTTTCTAAGAGAGAATCTTAACATTCAAGAAGAAAGGCTTTAGTACCAACAAATTCACCCAGATGCTGTTTCTTTAGGGACAGTTTCGCTGCGCTAACGTGTGCGGACCCTGCGGTCCCGGGTGGATGGACTCAGGAGAGCAGAGTCTGGTTTCCACTAAAGGGGGGGGGCGGGCTGGGGTGGGGGGGCTCATTTGGCACAACTAAGATGATGGCAGGTTCTTTTTTGCTGCTTCTTTTAAAAAACAAAAACCCCGGTGGTGATTTTTTTAAACATTTCTGTGGTTGTGTTGTTAAGTTTCTTTCTCCACTTTTAGTTGCTGATGCTTTTTCTTTTCTTTTTTTTTTCTGTTTTTACCTGACAGCAGAGACAAGATCACCGGGCACCAGAGGAGTACTTGGCCTTGGTGATGAGGTATAGCACAATGTCCTGGTGGCCCCCGAAGGCGGCGATGTGTAAAGCGCTCCACCCTTCCCTGTTGGCCAGCCGGATGTCTGCGCCAAACTTCACCAGCAGTTTCACCAGCTCCAGGTTACCGTCAATGACGGACTGGTGCAGCGCTGTCTGTCCCTCCGGTCCGAAGGAGTTGACGTTGAACTCGCAGTTTGTCATGTTCTGCAGCAGGGAGTGCAGCTCCTTGGTGTTGCCCTTCTTCACCGCCTCCTGGAAAACCCTCTGCGGCGCGGAGCAAGTCGACACATCCGCCTGGCTCATGGTTGGATGCTGGGGGGAACCAGTAATCCTGCCTGGACTCTAAAGCTGATTTTAATAATAATAATAATAATAATAAAAGAAGGAAAAAAGTGTTGATGTTGATGATGATGTCGAAGTGTTCTCCCTGTGGATGGTGAGCGACTCAGAGTCTCACACTGGACTGGGACAGTTTAAGGCACTCTTCAGGACTAGCAGACGGGGAACGACGCACTGGATGTATATCCCAAAAAAAGGACAATAACGGAAACAACACACTCGGTGTGCAAAAAGAAAGTTAATATTTGAGAGGTCCTCAAGCGGTCCCGGAGCCCGGGGCTGTAGTTTCCCCTGTGTAGCAGCAGCAGGTAGCCTATGGCAGGGGATGGAGATGAGCGACACCTCCGGCTTGGAAGAACTAGACCACTAAGTCCACAGGACCGGCTCCTCGGAACTTAAACGCTCCCACCTGTTTCCTTGCAACACGTCCCGGCTCGGCGCCGCAGCTCATGTGGCCACGATATCTGGAGAGAGACAGAAGAGACAAGAAATGTCCTCATGAGTCCGACCGCACCACAAATTCCAGCACATCCACGTTTTGGGAGCCAGAAACCTGTGCGCACACGCGGTTGCGCACGGAGCCGAAGCTTACATTAGCCGTTATAAACGTGAGCGGAGTGGGACGCCTTACCTGTGACAGATGGACGGGTCCAGAAGCTACGCAAAACCTGTAGAAAAATCCCACCGCGTTGGCTCCGTCCTCCGGCGTGCACGCTCCGTCTGCGAGTCTCTGCCCTGCGCTGCGCTGTGGGGGGATATTTTACGCGTCCTTTATATGCATGACAATACCTTCCCAAAAGAATCAACTGTGGAGGAATGGGCGGAAACGCGGGGAGGTTATAGGCTGCCGGCTCGGTTAGAGGGAGGGACCAGAAGGACCCTGTGAATTTTGGAGCAAGAGGAGGTGCGGTCTAGCGACGGGGGGAGCGAGGGAGGGGAGCCAGAAAACACACACTCGCACATAAAGTTGCTGCAGAAATATTCAACGGGGACGCCCGCAGCAAATGGATCCTGAGATCTAGAGCCGATCACAGGAGATCCTCCACCAGGAGGTCGTCATAAAACTGACCAATCTCAGCGGAAGTGTGAAGGATTTTTACGCATGGGCTCTGTAAAGAAGAGGATTTTTGATCGGTTCAACTTTTTGACTCAAACATTAAAACACGTAAATTGATTTAACCCTGACACTAACGCAGTGAATAACATTCTCGTTTGCACCATTGAGTTTAGGGTCAGTTTTGGACTAGAGATGCATAAAACTCGTTCAGTCACAGGTTTAGATAAAGAAAATCCAGACATTATTATGCGTCTGTTGTCCTCAGGTTCACTTTTTGGACTAAAAAGTTTTAATCTAAAAAAAAAAAAAATCCATTCAGTGAAACATCAGTAAAGAAAACCTGCCATATATACTCATTGTGTGTAGGTTCCAGGTTGGATTCAAAATGACAATTATTGCGGGGTTAATGCATAACTTTAGTTCAGTGACATAAATCTGATTAAATTGGACTTCTTTTTATATTTTGCTCTGGGTTCAAGGTCACTTTTGGACTCAAACTGGACAAATATGGGTTTTCATTTAATATGTGACTCACTCAAAAAATTGGACATTCACATATTTTGTATTGTGTTTACGTTGGATATCGGAGTTAAATGTGAAAATATATGTGGTTTTTAATATATAATGTGAGTTTCGTGTGAGTAAATAGTTGAATAAGCTGAAATCAGAGCAGGAGTCCAGCTAATCTGGCCTCCTGTGACAAACTCGATTTACGCAGTTTTCCTATATTTCTGTCAAATCCCCGTGTCCATTCTGAATATATAAAATGGCTGCATGTATTCCTAAATCCTAATGTTCACAGGTGGAAGGCAGACAAGACGTGAAAAAGATAGTTAGTGCACATTAAACGTCATTTTTTTCAGCCTTTTGTCAGGACAGGAACAGCCTGAAGTGAACCAGAATGTCAGTGACCTAAAAAGAAAAAAGAAAAGAAAAGAAAGAAAGAAAAAACACTCGCTCCAAATGGACCGGAGATCTGAGTGTCTCCTTCTTTCTTTCGGTCCACATAAAGCACCTGTGCGGCGGCTGCTTCAATCATAAAGTGCGGATATATTCCAGTTGTTTTTCAATGGACGGTGGGACTTCAAATAACAAAAGCCCGGCGCTACTTCCTTTTTGCAAGTGAAAAGAGGTGACGCTGTGCGCAGATTGACACTCGGCTCCGCTGCCCCTCCTCACTGCCCCCGACACCGTGGGAACTGGGTGTCCGTGCGTGCGCAGAAGCGCGCGATTGTGCGCGTACTCGTGCGCACAGGTCTCTAACATGCGCCGAGGAAATGCTTAGGTGCAGAGAGTACAATGGGCTGAATATACACGAGTGTAGCACCACTGCTAAAACTGTTGTGAAGTACAATACCTTTAAAGCGTAATACTACTGCTAAAAGTCTAGGCTAGCCTTTTTTATGAGGTACAATACCACTGATTAAACTATGAGCTATTCTTGAGAGTACAAATACTTACTATACTTGTGCAGAAATGCTAGAATTATATGAGTAAATACATGTGCAAATAAACCATGTCTTCTGATGTAGAGACAGCACCAGGTCAGAGGGAGAACCTGGAACCCATAGAACACATGACCTCACAGTGACAGGTAAGTCCAACAAGTATGAACACACACCAAAATATAGATTAAAAAAAAGAGCATAAACAGAAAAAGCAGAACCAAGGAAAGTACAAAAATATTACATAATTCTGAGTGCAAAGTGGGCTGTAGAAAAAAAAAACAACTATATATAGAGCCTTACAGTACAACACAAATAGTAAAATATGTGGGCCACAAAATAGCACTACCAGTCCAAATATGGATTGTTCTGAGTGACCGGAGGACTACACATTTGGAAAAATGTTTAGAGTTTTGGTCCATCTCGTGGTCGGACCACTTGGTTCAAACCCAGATATTGTTGGGCAACAGAAACTGAGGGGAAGAAGAAGCTACGAACCCAAACACCTTGGAATGTAGAAACACATAACAGATTCTATGAGATGTACAAGCAAAAAAAAAAAAAAGGTCGCAGGCTCTCACTGACCAGCAAGTTACCACTGAGGTGCTCTGGTCATGGCACCGTCCCCACACACTGCTCCCAAGGCGCTCTTCTAAAGCTGCCCACTGTTCACTAAGATGATGGGTTAAAGGCAGAGGTCACATTTCACTGTGTGCAGTGGTGTGCTGTGTCACAATGACAAATAAATCACTTCACTTTAAACACCCGGTCCAAATAAAAAGCTCTTTAGGTGCCCTTTTGATTAAACATGTACTTAATTTGTATAAAGGTCCACATTTACTAGTGTACATGTGACCAACCTAGGCTAACACCCAGGGTTGATTGAGCTACAGAGAGGGGTTTTATCTACATTTTGAGAAGGAACGGAGAAGCATTTAAACCAAAAGAAAACAATAAAAACACATCAGCTGGTTAATGTGACACATGAATGCACGTGTGCAGCAGCAGAAGCAGAAGCAGCAGCAGGTTGAACTCCCATCAGCCTCTCTGGGGGCTGTTGTTGCTTCATTTCAACATCTGGGTGTGACACTTTATAAACCACGTTCTGCTCTAAAGGTTAGGTGGCTTTCACACCGTCTTCTGTTCCCACACTGTGTGTGTGTGACTCTCAACTGTACATTTGGCTCATGTCTGTGGCTACATCTGCTGCTCAGTGTGTGTGTGTGTGTGTGTGTGTGTGAGCTGAGCATCAGGCAGCGTGGGAGAGACAGCAGAACAGCTCATGCACAATTGAGGTCGACTCTTCAAAACACCTACAGAAAAACACAGCAGAGGAGAAAGTGAACACAAAGAACGTCAGAGTATTTTACTTGCCGTTCCTCTAAAGAATATGCAAAAGAATAAAGTGTGCACGCAGAACAAACACAGAGAAGACGAATCACTAAAAAACAATTAATGGATCTTTATGTTAATTCAATCAGTTCTTTTTGTTCCCATTGTCTTATTCCCCCTTAATTTATATATATAAATTACACATACATGTTATATATATTTCTTGAAAAGCTCTGGGCTATCTTTTAGTAAACGCTTGGTATTTTTGGCTTACCTGTATTCCTGCTACATGTTCACTTGGTTTAGATTACATTAGACTGGATTAGATTAGATTGGATTAGACTAGACTTGATTAGATTATACTTTATTGATCCCACACCGGGGAAATTGGGTCACAATGGGATCAGAAACGAGCTATTGTCGACGTGTTTATAAAAGTAGTAAGTAGTAAACCAGTTATCGAGACCATCAACTATGGTCTCGATAACAGGTTTACTGCATCCCTTATTTTTTTCCTATTGTTTGGTCCAGTGTAATAATGTCCCACAGCTGCAAATGCTGCAACACAATATTGTACAGAAAATGAATGCTATATGTTTGAAGGTGATACTGTAGTAGTCACCACAACAAATCTACTTAGAAAATGGATGTGGTAGTTTCAAAGTTCTCACACTAAAGTAAAGCATGTGGCTTAGTGTGTGTGTGTGTGTGCTGTTAAAGGTTAGTGAATGGTGCAGCAGAACATCTTCTGGAAAATGAGAAACATCTGTCCGCTATCACAGCTTGGCTACAGTGCGTCTGGACACTTGGAAAACATTTGCACAGACCGCAGGAGCCAAAAGTTTGCTTCAGATTGGAAGAGTTCTCCCCCAAACTCTGTGGCATTTGTGCTCCTCTGGCACCAGCCACCTCCTCCTCCCCCTGCCCCTTTTCCTCCCCCTCCTGCACCTCCTCCAAACTCCACCACCTCCCGTCTCCTTCGTCTATTCTTTATCCAGAGAGAGAGATACTGATGTTATATTTGTTCAAGGAGAACCCAAATACTTGGTTTTACAGGAATCCCTCTCTTCATCATCATCAGTTGTTTACTTCTGTGAAACAGGGGAGTGAAAAAAACAGCTACATTCAAATGATGCAAATCACAATTCAGGCAAGTTCAAAAGGAGATGTCCTGTACATCTTAATATTATTTTAAGTTCTCTCAATCACACTATATCCCCTCTGTCATTTATAAAGATGATCTAAAGTCTGGCTCAGGGGCCAATCGCTGCACCTAGACTGCATTAATGTGGCCCTTAAGGTCATGTTCATGTACTTCATTGATCTGAAAAACCCCCTGATGCACTTGGAATAATTTTCAAGACACTGTTATTAAACTTTGTACTTTGCTTACTTCCAGTTTTTTCTGCTTTCTACTCTTTGTTCATCAGTTAACTTTAAGTAAACTTTTGTCAAATTTATGGCTAATCTAACTAGCACTTTGTCACATAGGACTTAAGCTTGGTTATTATTTCTGATTAAAAATTAACTTTCTTAAAGCTATTTTGGCATTTAGCAATGTTAGGCTACTGCTAGGCTACCTTGGGCCAATGTGATTAATGCCACATGCCCTGAGATAAATAATAGAAATAAAAAACAATTATAATGCTGGATGGGTCAAAGGGAGTATGGCGAGAGGGAGGTGAATTTTGCAATGAAATGTAATGATTTTTTACACATTAAGATGAATCCAAAACATTATGCTGAATGAACACACACAGCCACTATTACTGACTTTATAACAGGAGGTCCCTGCTTTATCAATTTGGAGGTCCTTGAACCTAAAAGATCTTTGAGCTAGATATAAGACTGACCTGGGCATCGGCTCCAAAACTCCAGCTCTAAATGGAAAAAAGCTGAGAAAAACAAAACAAAACAAAGATAAGACCAGTCTATTCTGGCTGAATGTGAGCGGCCATGTCTCCATTCTTCCAGTCTGTGGATAAACAAAACTCTTTTCCTAAGTTTCATAGTATGTATGTGTATGTGCATGTGCGTGTGTGTGGTTGCACACAAGAAGGGACAAGTTAAGGCGCCTGGTCCAGACCAGACAGCAGAAGGCTCCAGCCAAGGATCAGACCCAGAAAACCTGGATCTGGGTGGTGTGAGTGATCCGTCCTGCATGTGTCGCTAAAGAGGAGTCAGAGGAGGAAAAGTCTAATTTTTCATCCTGACGCGTTGGCACAATTATTTATGAACATTCCTCGTGTCAGAAAGAGAGAGAGAGAGAGAGGAAGAGAGAGAGAGGTGTGTGACGTATGGCATCGCGGGCGGGGCTTGTAATTCCAATTCATTGGGCACCACGTGTCTGCAGAGCGTGGGAAAGAGGCGAGCTTTTCTTCCCAGCGAAGAAAGAGCGGGGATCAAATAACACGGCGCTGCAGCAGAGCAGAGTCTGCACAGAGGCTGCAGACTGAGGCAGCGAGACTGCGCAGGCTACTGCTGCTGCCGACACCACCAGGACCAGGACCGGGACCGGGACCGGACTAAAGTGACACGACACACATATTTCCGAATCAGAGTGACAATGTAAAAAAAAAAAAAAAAGTGTGACAAAATTAGGTTCAAATTCTTCCACTGCAAAGTGTAATTTAAGAAACAGTCAATATGAACTTAAACAAGTGTAGTAGCATACTACAAACAGGAGCCTGCAAAATGAATACAGTTAAACTTGAATAATAAAAAATAAATATTAAACAAAACACATTCAATTAATGCTAAACATAATTCATAAAAACTGGACAATTATTACAAAATCCTAAAACAAAATAATTTAAGTAAATTAGAAAAAATGTTACTACTTAATTATTAGGATATTAATAGATAAAAGTGGGAACGTTTCCAAATAGAAAAAACAACCAAGGTTGGTTTTCAACAGGTTATATTTAACACTAATGCGGATGAGATGGCTAAAATTCATATTTCAGCCTGAGCTGTTAACAAAAGAATGGTTACAAAAACATTTACCACTTTTGCTGTTGCTGTTTTTAATGAAGCTCCGGCCTGTGTTTTGACGTCAGCTCTGATCAGACCTGCACTAACTTCTTCTCACACCTGAATGGAAACAGAAAAAAATGAAGACATTTGTTTCCCTGACACATATGAAAAGAACGAATAAAAGTATTAATGAAACTGAACTGTTTTTGTTTTTTATTCTCTTTTTGCTGCCTTTCAAAAACTGACTGTCGGTGCTAAAAACACCAGTTGGTTAGATACACCCAATGGAGTGGGGCTAGTTTTAAGCTAACATTAGCCATTTGCTAAACAATAATATCCTTCTAACAATGTAAAGCAATTTTACTACCTGGTAATTTTAGGTATGTGTTCTAAATAGGCTTCCTTTCAGCTACTTCTAGGCTAACTACTATTACTCTTTTTTTGTCTACTTCTTGGTTTACTTTCAAGCTAAATTATGGCTAACTTGGAGCTATTTCCAGGATATCCCTTAAACATCGTAACTGACTTTTAGATTTTGTTTGTAAACCACTAACAGATAAAGCTAACTTTTAGCTAACTTGTATGTATTTATTGTTTTTTCTAAATATAAACTAATTTATTTTTATTTATTTTTTTGCCTTAATTTTATACTTCTCCAGAACTGTGTGGTTTGGGGCAACATTTACTTGTAATTACACAAAGATATTGTCTGAATCATCTGATGAGTCTACCACAGAGGCCTTTAATAAGGGGGCTGAGACACTAAATGAGTCCATGAGGGGCCTAGAGAGGGGTTAGCCTAATATTACATTCAAAATATTAAAGTAATTTTTAAACTGTACTAGGCTTTGTTTAAGATAAGAAAAGCATAAATATAAATATATATTTACATATATGTATATTTACGTATATATATATAGATATATACACACACACGCACACACACACACATTGCGTCCCCTGGAGGCTGCTTTTAGGACATCACCTGTGCTCTGTGTTCGTCACTGACATAATCCACATGATCTTGGTAAAGAACAGTGTGACAGCCTATAGATGTCAGATATAATCAGGGCTCAGCAGGTTCACACAGAACCAGCAACAATGACCAGTAGAAGTCACTTTAACACCTTTGAAATTGTATCGTTCACATATGATAATATAGATAATGTACATAGGAGATAAAAATGGTATTATAGGTATCTGCCATATGGTTGGTGTAATTTTACTGACCTTGTTTGTACCTCACATTCTGCAACAGGAGAGAAAAACATGTTTCCCCTGCAGTGAATGAACTCTTCAAGTTACAGCCTTTCAGCAAATGTTGTATAATGTCTGCATTCTTGTCCAGAGTCAGTTTATCTTTTCCACTCTATTTCACTGGAAAGATATTAAATAGGACATAGTTTTTCAAAATAAATCAGAAATACACCATAAACCAAAGGACAATAGAAAACAATGTTTGTTTAAACAACAATGGTTGAACCTCAGCAAAAACATAAACCAAATTTGCCAGAAGATAAATACTAACAAAGACACACAAGGCTTAAAGTAAAAAGAATACGGCAAAAAGGTATTTTAACAAGAAATAGA